TTATTGTTTTAATCCAAGCATTGAGTTTGACCCTGAAGTTACACATGGACTATACAAGTGTATTGAGAGATTGAGTACTTCTGAAGAAAAGGTCGATAAGATTACAAAACGGCTGGCAGTTTATAAAAATGGTGCTTGAATTTTTGCTTCATATGAAACTATAAGGAAAAGGCATACATTGGCTCCAGGTTAGTTTACAGTTTAAATAATAAGTTCATTTTTTTTTCTGTAAAGTTTATATATAGTTTCTTTATTCAACTTATTGTTTCAGTGAATGACACAGCTGAGTGATGGAGGAACTATGGCAGTCATGTTTCAAACTTGCAAAAGTTGGCCATAAAGGTATTGAGCTTGACTAGTAGCTCATTGGGTTGTGAGAGAAATTGAAGTATTTTTTAACACGTAAGTAATTGAAATCTAACTTTAACTTATAAAATGTACTTTTGTTTCTATTATAATTTAGACGAAAAGAAGCTAATAGTTATCTTAAATCTTAATTAATTGTTAGATTCATTCCAAAAAAAGAAACAAATTAGAGAAGCAGAAGTTATAAGATTTGGTTTATATCAAGTATAACCCAAATTTGTTAGATTGTTATGATAGCAATGATGTCATTGATCCTATTGTTCTGAATGATATTGATGATTCCAATGAGTGGTTAATTGGATAAGTTGATAAAGATAGACAACCAGCCGAGGATAAGTTAGTCTTTGACAATGATAATTTGACTTAGGGAGTTCTTGCTGATGCTACTGGAGCTAACGAGTCTGCTTTCTACACTAGGATGCAAACATCAACGAGAAAGAATGCTACAATAGAAGACATGGATGAGAATAGAGAGGAGGAGGAAGAAGATGAAGAATATTTAGACAAGAGCGGCAGTGATGATGGTGAAACTGAAGAAGAAACAAATTTATCATATTTTGAATTTAATTAGCCGTGATATCTATCTATCAAACAATAGTGATCTAATTGTTTTTGCTTATATAACTATCTAAACATTATGATCATATATTTTTTGTTGACATTTGATTGGTTTGAATGATCATCATAAGTTTAATTTATAGATTTCTTCTATATTTTTGTTGTAATTTTGTATACGTAATATTTATATATATATATATATATTCTTAAATATTTAAATAGCGGTCAAAGCGTTATCCGCTATTCCGCTATAGCATTTTAGAGGTTGACCACTACGCACCGCCATCCGTGATTGACAACTATGATCATAGAGGAACGGTTAACAGACAGAACAAACAATCAACTTAACATATTCAAAGCTACATGTTTCAAATAGAATACAAATTCTAAGACTCGAGGACCAAACACTTTGGGGACTGAAGACCTTTGAAACGTCTTGCAAAGTCAGTTTTTGTATAATATGACACAAAAAAAAATGTTTCCCACATTTCTGACTATGGTGATTGTCAAAAAACATATGCTAAAAATAGTAAAATAGCATATTACATAAAGACAAAATAATAAAACACAAAAGTAAGCAAAGTGAATACAAATATTTTAATTTACCATTAAACAATGCATATCTTTAAATGGTCTTTCACTGACCAATATTTTCTTGAAGTTTTTCGACATCGCAAACAAACCCTCAACAATCCTATCTCTCACGTATCCAGCCCAGTTAAACTCACTTGCTAACACCTTAGACTTAAGGAAATGGAGTTTACGATGATTAATCTTCGAATTGGATGTGGGCGTCAACAGAACAGACATATAGTACATAACATATATCCTCCAAAAATCAACATCACTCGTTAGTCTCCCATTGTCCAGTAAGTCCTTGAACAAAGGCTTGACAATATGTTTATTATCCTTACCTATAAGTTTTATATCTAACACAAATATATCGGCAAAAGTGTAGTAATAATCAGACTCATACAAAGAAATTGATTCCTTCTTTTCCTCATATGGCAAACCATACACAACAACGTCACGATCATTAATATGGCATTTATTCCCATTAGATAAATGAAAACTCTCACTAGCAGGGTCCCAAAAACTCAGTATTGCATAATATGAGTCACAAGAATAAGTAATGGTTTAACATGAAATAGTCATTTGAAACAACTAGATTGAATATACCTCCTAAACGTCTCACGAGAAGGGTGCTGTAAAGACTTGTTCAGGTGTGCAACTTTCCTAGAAACCCATGGTAGTTGAATGATAGGGTCCTTCGAACCGGAAGCCTTCGGCATTGTTGATGGATTTCGATGAGTTCGGTTTAATTGAAAATTTTGAATAATAAAAAAAATTTATATTTAAATATTTTTAATTTTTTTCTTAATAAAAAATACATATCGATTTCAAACAATATAAAAATAAATATTGCAACATGTAGTTGATATTGTTTTAGTTTGTTATTTTGCATGACTTTTTAAAATATGTCATGTCGAATAATAAAATTATATGATAACAAATAAATTGTGTTATTACAAAATTTTTAAAAGTTACCCCCCCCTCCCCCTCTTTCGTCCTATCATGTTTCCACCGGTGGACATGATCCAATAGATCATTTGGATTTAATGCAAAATTGAAGCGAAGTAGGATAATTTTATGATTATTCTCACCCACACGGTAGTGAATTCATTCTTAGGCCTTGAACATACTGCTCGTCCATTGCAAAAAAAAAAATATCAATTTTGTAATAAAAATTAGAGAAGAAATTTATGGTCATAAAAAAAGAAATGCATAAAATATTTGACACGGCTCCGGATCACCTGAACCCGAACTTAGACAGTCCGATTGCAACCCGAACCCGGTCGAAGCTACTTGTTTGCTTGGAGGTTGTGATCCTTTGATCTTAATCAAAATGTGTGGTTTAGATTAGCTTGCCACTTAAGATGTGTGGCTTAGATTAATTTGTCATTTAGTATATATAGCCTTGTTTATTTTCTTGAATGACACACAACTTAGATGAGAACATTTTTTAGAGATGGTTAACCTAGCTTTGGAGAGATTCCTTGAGTTGGAGTGATTCCATCCGCCGAGAGGGCAATTCGATTGTTGAGCTTCGGATGCAATTGCGTGAGAGACGGAAGATGCATCGGCAGCCTCGGACAGTCCGTGGATTCTCAAAAGTGCTTGCTCGAGAGGAGTGATTGATTTTGGAATTCAACTTATCCTATTTCTATTTTGATTTTCGATTCAGCATTTGTAAGTTCCCAAATACATATTAGATACTTGTCTTCGAGTTTGATTCATGGAGATGATCCTAATCCATGTCATAAATTGGTATCAGAGCGGTTGTTGACTTGATCATAAGATTTCGTAGCAATCCTGTTCACAACATGTTCGATAATATGTCTCTATGTCCTGTTTGATCAAGTTTGTGTTAGAACATTGGTTTAGTTCATGTTATTTGGAGATAGTTCATAGTTTCTGGAAATAGTCATTTCGTTGTTGCAAAAATTCCCTCTCTAGTGGAAATGATAACTAGTTCCAATCCATTGTTAGTTGCCAAACATGAGTTGTGTTGTTGAATTTGTCTCTCAAGAAACACAAGTAGTAGTGATTATTGGCCGGCGCTAACAAGCTTTGTTCGTAGTTTTCTAAGTGTTCTTAGACCTTGATTGAGTAATATGGTTGGTTTTGAGCCTAAACACATCAACTGATCATGGAATTGAGTGAATTGAGGGCTTAGAAGTGTGTTTTTGTGAGTTTTGTCGGTAAATCGTATTTTGGCCGTAACTTTTGCATACGAACTCCGATTTACTATTGTGAGGAGGTTTCAAAATCGGCATCGAGTCCTCTATATAGTAAGCACAGCTTTGCTGTGCTGTGATCTCAAAATCGTCAAAAAACACTTGGAAGACAGTTTTTGGTCAGTTTGAAAATCTTGGGTCCGGCATTCTGTTTTCTGTTTTGAGCAGTCGAATTGTTCGATTTACTGCTCTCAATTGGCTGGGAATTATTGAGTGATTCTTTTCTTTCATGTTAGGTAAATCCTTGAAGTTGATTGTAAGTTTTGGAATCGTGAGATTTGGTTTTGAATAGCTCTGAAATAGCATTTGAATTTGGTTATAGTGCACTATGTCCTGTTTTTTAGGAGTGTGGCAAAAGTGCAATAAAAGAGCCAAGCTGGTAATATAAATTAGAAAAATGCGCACTCTAAACATTAAGTAAAAGCCTAGAGCATTAAAAAAAACAAAAACAAATTGAGCAGCACACTTTCTCTTTCTTTTATAGTGCTTTGTCGATCATTTGGATAATCATAGTTGAGAGTCACTAAACTAGTTTTGAGGAAGTAGTTCTATCATTCTGTGGGGGGTTTTTTGAGTTAGAAGAGATTGTCATGATCAAATGATGTGCTAGGGATTTCGATTCTAGCTTGTTGCTTAATTGTGGAATAAGAACTTATGTCAAACTTTCTTTACATTCTGCGATTATAGTTTGGCGTCGAATCCTCTAGTTTGGTTCCTAGTTGATGCGTCTTGTTTTTGTTCGACATTACTTCTCCTTGAGTATTGCATTTGAAGGAATTCCGACGTACTATTTGAGGTATTTGCAAAATGCTTATTATGTTTTGATTGTGGTTGCTTCTAATTTTCCTTTCTGAGAGTTGTGAGAGAGCTGTTGGAATCGAGTATGCAACAATTGGAGGCCAAAATGGAAAAAACTTTATCCATGCAATAAAGGGCAACTTGGGATCATGTAGAGTACACCGTGAATAAGAAAATGGAGGACCTCAATCACAGGTTGACATCTTTGGAGACGGCACGGACTGAGGTTCCTTCTGGAATAGCTGATATTCGGGGTAGATATGATGCAGTTGAAGCTTCTCGTCATCGTGATGTGAGTCCTTCAATGAGGTCAGCGCACACAATAGTCGTAACTCAGAGCACTCATTCTATGAACGAGACCGAACTTATAATCGACGTAGTGAAGTGGATGACGACCTTTCTACCATTAGGATTACCCTTCCCACCTTTGGAGGATTAAGAGCAGCAGAGGAATTTTTGGATTGGACAACAAAGTGCGATATGGCATTTGACTGCCATAATTACTCGGATGGCAAGAAATTCCGAATGGTGATTTTTGAATTCAGGGATTATGCATTGACTTGGTGGGTGAATGAGAGATGTTATAGAGAACGGCATCAACGAAATCCGATTGATACTTGGCCCCGGTTGAAGGAAATCATGAGGAGGCGTTTTGTGCCACAAAGTTATGAACGAGATATGAATATCAAGTTGCAGTCCTTGGTGCAAGGTTCAAAATTGGTGGAGGAATATTTTAAGGAATTGGAGATTTTGATGATGCGATTGGATATTGATAAGATCGGGTCATTGACAGAAGCTCGGTTCATTAAGGGTTTGAGGCGTGAGATAGCTGATACGGTTGAGCTGCACCATTTTCATTCTCTTCGGGAAGCTGTGGATTTGGCTATCAAACGCAAGGAGCAGCTCAAGAGACCAACCTCAACTGGATTTTCATCTCAAAGGAAGTTTCCAACCAGTTCTGTAGCTCCGGTTGTATCTTCTACCGGATCTAAAGGAATTGTTTTCGCTAGGCCCTTCGATAAAAATATGGATAAAGGCAAATATAAAATAATTGATAAGAAGGATGAGGCTGCGAAGTTCAAAGGAAAGGATTTTGGACAGCAAAAAGAAAAGATTGTAACGTGCTATAAGTGTCATGGACAAGGGCACTATGCAGGTCAATGCCCCAATAAACGAACCGTTATGATTTTGGAGAATGGCGAATGGGGATATGTCGATGATGGTGAGGGCGATGAGGTAGTAGATGCTGAAACAGAGGCTGGAAGTGATGAAGACGTTGAAGAAGTGTGCGATGAGGATCCATTAAGTTTAGTAGTCATGCGTGCCTTGACATCTTTACCGCGTGAAGATAAGGATGCGGGACAGCGAGAAAATCTATTCCATTGTCATTGCAAGGTAGCGGGACATACTATATCCATGATAGTGGATTCGGGTAGTTGCACCAATGTTATTAGTTCCTATGTGGTCGAGAAGCTGAGTTTGAATACGACCCCACACCCGAAACCATATAACCTACATTGGATGACCGATGAAGGAGCTGTCCGTGTCGATAGACGAGCGATTGTTACCTTTTCGATTTGTGGTTTCAGCGATGATGTCCTTTGTGATGTGTGTCCCATGACTGCATGCCACCTCCTTTTGGGACGACCATGGCAATTTGATAGACGTGTTTTGTACGATGGATATAAGAATCAAATATCGTTCACTTAAGGTTGTAAGAAGCTGAGCATTTCTGCCCTTCCACTCGAGACCGTCCGTCGTGATTCTGAACATTTACATAAGACTATGCGAGATGTGGTAAAATCAAAAGTGGCTGTTGTTACCGTTTCGGCGAAACCTTCCGAGGGAGACGATAGCAAGCTGATGCTTAGTCTCAAAGAGTTCAACAAAGAAGTTCGCCAAAACAGTAACCAAGATTAGGGAAGTTACTTTTATATTCTCTTACTCAAAGAAGTACTTGTTATTGACGATAATTCTTTTTCTCACTCGTCTTCTCCTTTTGTAGACTTGCTTAAAGAGTTTGAGGATGTTTTTCCGGATGATATACCACCTGGATTACCACCATTGCGAGGCATCAAACATCGTGTTGATTTTGCGCCGGGTTTATCAATCCCCAATAGGCCAGCTTATAGGTGTAATCCAAAAGAAAGTGAGGAAATTCGAAGACAAGTCCAAGAGCTTCTTGATAAGGGATGGGTTCGAGAATCTTTATCTCCTTGTGTTGTACCTGTTTTACTTGTCCCTAAAAAGGATAACTCATGGCGTATGTGTGTTGGTTGCAGGGCCGTCGATGCAATTACTATGAAATACCGACATCCAATCCCTCGATTGGATGATATGCTTGACAAGTTGCATGGAGTACGATTGTTTACAAAAATTGATTTAAAGAGTGAGTACCATCAAATTCGTATGCAACCCGGAGATGAGTGGAAAACAGCTTTTAAAACTAAGTTTGGGTTGTACGAGTAGCTAGTCATGCCATTCGGGTTGACAAACGCGCCCAACACTTTTATGCGGTTGATGAACCATGTGTTGAGAGAATTCATTGGAAAGTTTGTGGTGGTATACTTTGATGACATACTTGTCTATAGTACTTGTTTGGAGGACCATCTAGGACATGTTAGGCAAGTTTTTCATGCATTAAGAAATGCTAAATTGTATGGTACGTTAAAGAAATGCATTTTCTGCACTAATGAAAATATCTTTCTTGGCTTTGTTGTAGGTGAAGATGGTCTTAAGGTTGATGAATCTAAGGTTGCTGCAATCCAGGAATGGGAAAAATGTACAAGTGTGGCCGATGTCCAGAGGTTCCTTGGAATGTGTGGATTCTTTAGGCGATTCGTATCACACTTTAGTGTGATAGCAGCCCCATTGACCTCCCTTTTAAAGAAGAATGTTCCATTTAAGTGGGAGGCAAGTCACGAAGCATCCTTTGAGAAGCTTCGGGATAGTTTGCCACATGCTCCGGTTTTGGCACTACCCGATTTTGAACGAGCTTTTGAAGTCCAATGCGATGCTAGTGGAGTTGGTATAGGTGCAGTACTATTACAAGAAGGACGACCGATTGCTTATTATAGTGAGAGATTCAATGGAGCAGCCCTTAATTACTCGACATACGACAAGGAATTATATGCGGTTGTGCAAGCCCTGAGAGTTTGGCAACATTACTTGCTGCCAAAAGAGTTCGTGATTCACATAGATCATGAGACCCTCAAGCATTTGCGTAGGCAGCAGCAACTCAATCAACGTCATTCTCGGTGGGTAAGTTTTATTGAGCAATTTCCACATATGATTAAGATAAACAAGGGAAAGAGAACGTAGTTGCTGATGCACTCTCTCGGAGGTATGTTTTACTTAATCATACTTGTACACATTTGGTTGGATTTGCACATATTCGTGAGTTGTATGAGCATGATGTAGATTTTGGTGATATATTTAGGATGTGTGAGAAGCATGGTTTTGATAATTATTATAAGCATGATGGCTATTTGTTTCATGGTGATAAATTGTGCATTCCTAGATGTAGCATTAGAGATGTTTTGATTGAGTGGAGTCATGGTAGTCATATGCTTGGACATTTTGGTAGACATGCTACATTTGATGTTCTTAGCGTCCACTTTTACTGGCCTCATATGCGTAAACATGTTGATTCTTTTGTTGATAAGTGTCTTGTATGTAGAGTGGCGAAGAGTACTTTGAAGCCCCATGGTATGTATACTCCTCTTCCCACTCCGGAAGGCCCTTGGTTAGATATTTCTATGGATTTTGTTCTTGGTTTACCTCGGACACCGCGTGCTAAAGACTCAATTTTTGTTGTGGTTGATAGATTTTCCAAGATGGCTCACTTTATACCTTGTGCGAAAACGACAGATGCTAGTCATGTGGCAAAGCTTTTCTTTCGAGAGATTGTGAAATTGCATGGGGTCCCAAAAACTATTGTATCTGACAGGGATGTAAAGTTCGTATCTTATTTTTGGAAAAGTTTTTGGCATGAAATTGGGACGCGCTTACTTTTCTCTACCACTTGTCACCCCCAGACTGATGGCCAAACGAAGGCGGTCAATCGTACCTTAGGTAATCTTCTACGTGCCATGGTACATGATAGTGGTCGAACATGGGATGAATGCCTACCACATGTTGAATTTGCTTATAATAGGCATGTTAGTACTACTACTAAATTGTCCCCGTTTGAGGTTGTTTATGGTTTTAATCATTTAACTCCTACCGATATGTTGCCACTACCTAGTAGCGAGCATTTGAATTTTAGTGGCAGGGATTGAGCTACATCAATCAAGGAATTACATGCCAAAGTACGGGAGAACATTGATAAGGCGGCCGCGACATACGCACGCTATGCCAATCGCGGAAGAAAACGCGTGATATTTCGACCCGGAGATTGGATATGGGTACATTTGCGTAGAGAACGCTTTCCGGAGCTGCGGCGTGGGAAATTTTCTCCTCATGGAGCTGGTCCATTTCCTGTGTTTGAGCGCATAAACGATAACGCATACCGGATTGCACTTCCGGAAGACTTGGGCGTGAATGCGACTTTCAATGTTGCCAATTTGAGCCTTTTTTATCACGCTGAAAATGCTACTAGCCTTGAGTACAAGGCAGCCAAAAATGCTACTACTAGCCTTGGGGACAAGGCAGCCGAAGGGGGAAAGGATGACACGCCTCCGGATCACCCGAACCCGAACTTAGACAGTCCGATTGCAACCCGAACCCGGTCGAAGCTACTTGTTTGCTTGAAGGTTGTGATCCTTTGATCTTAATCAAAATGTGTGGTTTAGATTAGCTTGCCACTTAAGATGTGTGGCTTAGATTAATTTGTCATTTAGTATATATAGCCTTGTTTATTTTCTTGATGGACACACAACTTAGATGAGAACATTTTTTAGAGAGGGTTAACCTAGCTTTGGAGAGATTCCTTAGAGTTGGAGTGATTCCATCCGCCGAGAGGGCAATTCGATTGTTGAGCTTCGGATGCAATTGCGTGAGAGACGGAAGATGCATCGGCAGCCTCGGACAGTCCGTGGATTCTCGAAAGTGCTTGCTCGAGAGGAGTGATTGCTTTTTGAAATTCAACTTATCCTATTTATATTTCAATTTTCGATTCAACATTTGTAAGTTCCCGAATACATATTAGATACTTGTCTTCGAGTTTGATTCATGGAGATAATCCTAATCCATGTCAATATTACTAACTGATGTAATAAATATACATATATATTTTGATATATGATTGAGCCTCCTATTCTCTTCTGCAAAAAAGCTTTGGGTAGGCGTTAGGTCGGGTAATTCGACTTCGGGTAATCGAAACTTAGAGTAGATTTGGATTTTAATTTTTTAGGTCCATCAAAATGCGGGTCTCAACGAGTCAACTCACCCGGATGCGGGTTGGAAGTGGATTTGTCCTCAGTAGGGCTGGTTAGTCTTTGGGCCAAATAAATATAATTTTAATTATATTATATTTTTAATATTTCAAATGAATTTATCTATTTTGTAATTTTAGTCGTTCCGAAATTAATCTATTTATTTCATTTTTACTAATTGTTCTTACTACATAACTTTAAAAAATTCTTACAACTTACGTATTATTACAACAAAATTTATCATCATTGTTTAATACTAATATTTATAATTTTTCAAAAATAAGTAAACAAATATATACACATGAGATTGACGAAATATTATAGTTTAGTTTTTAAAAATATTTATATTAAGTTAAATTAAATCATTAATTTATAAAAAAAAATATATTATGTTAAATCAATAAATAATATATATTGTCTGCGATGTTACTATCGTTTATGATAAATCAATATAAATTTTAATTAATAAATTAATGTCGTTGTTTTCTTTATTTCAATTTTTTTTTATTCATCTTTCTTTTTCTTTTAAGTTTTTTTTTTCTAAAATTTATTTAAAGATCTATAAGAATAATACTTATTTATTATTTAAATATTTTTTATTATAATTATATTTTAAAAAGGAATAACCATCAATGATATTTAAAATTCTGAATTAATTTATATTAAATATTTTTTTAAAAATATTTATTATTTAAACTCTAAGATATAACTATCTTTTTATATTAAATATATAAAAAATTAATAATTTTTAAAAGCCTATGTATTGGCTAGTTTGGTTCGTCATCTACCGGTGAATTGAATTGGACTATCTAAATCTTAGACCATCTCGTTGCTTATTGACCCCTAAATAATCCATCTATTTACAAATTATAGTTGATTCCTTGCGAACCCGTTTTGACATCTTAATATATTGATGGTTAGGTTTTAAGAAGAATGAAAGTAAAAAAAAAAATGTTTAGGGTTTTATGGATTTACCTTTTAATTATTTAAGTTACTCGTCGAGATCAAATCATCAAAAGAGGCAAATGACAAATGACAATCTAAAAATACCCATAGGGCCCGGCCCAATTAAGAAATGACCACAGAAATCATCCTTGGGCCGCACCAAGTGGCGTGGGCCTCAAAGACAAAAGAACCAATGAGACAGGCCCAAAATTGAGCCTGCATTACCCTTAATATGTTTTCATGGCCCAAAAAACGTTTTGCAATTGAGAGTGCTATGTTAATTATTTTTTGAGTTCTGTTGTACATCTGTGATTTTGTAGCTATTTTATGGAGTTTGTTTGCTAAACTAATTATAACTCTGAGGATGTCTAAATCGAACAAAGTCTGAGGGGCAATTCACATTGTATTAGTTCTTTTTGTTTGTGTTTTTTTTTGCGCTTATGATAGTGAAGTTGTCGTAAAATTAGAACTAACTCATGATTTTGACATTTTGTGCACAATTACAAATATCCAATTACTGTATTGAAATAACAAATTAATTTTTAATACACAAAATTTAAAAATAGTTGTATAATTGGATATTTGTAAGAGGAAAATTCTTGATGAATAATAGAATTTTACACAAAATATTTCAAAAGAATATATTTTATAAATTTTTATATTTGAGTTAAAATTGATAAATTTTAATTATATTATTATTACTATTGATTTTGTCTATTTTAACTATATCAACTATATTAAATTTAAAATAATTTTTTTTGAAAAAAATATAACAAAAAATTAGAATTTTAGACCAAAACAGAAATGTGCACGGCCGTATAAAAAATATAGCCATGTATAATTATACAATGAAATATACATGCCCGCGTAAAAAACATAGTTATGTATAATTATATATTGAAATATACATGCTCGTATAAAATTATACATGGCCGTGTAACAACATGATCTTGTATAATTATACACTGAAATATACATGGTCATGTAACAACATGACCGTGTATAATTGTATATGGGTGTGTAGTTTTCAGGTCAGCTGCCACGTCATTTCCGTTATGTTAACGTCAGCAATCTTTATTAGTTTTTTAACGGTGAAACCAAAATTGATTGAAAATATTTATAATTGGGCCAAAATTGATTGAAATTGTTTATAATATGACTAAAATTGATGAGTTATTTTATTGAGATCAAAATTGATAAATTTTAATTATATTGAGACCAAAATTGATATTTTTCATATATATATATATATTTAAACCAATTGTTACTGTATTTTTATTGTAATTTGGAAATTTATTGTTTAGTTCTTTTTGCTGCAAAAATTTTTGAGCCATTTGCGTAGTTATTATCTCTATTTTATTTTAGATTTTTTTTTATTGGATTCTTTCTTTCACTTTAAAATTTCTCATTTTTCTTAATTTTATTATAATGCAGATGTACAACGAGTAGATATGATTAAACTACAAAGAATAGTATGAACAGTTAAGATTGAGGGGTGTATTCAATATAAATTTTTGTAGGATAAGTCTTTTAGAATTTTGAGGTATTCAATAGATATTTAACAATCCATAGATTTTGAAAGTTTATGAATTTTAATGAAAAATTATGAAAATTTTTGTATAGGAAAGAATCTCTCCTAATTTGTTGTGATCAATAATAATATGATAATATTTATTACTATTATTATAATTTTTAATAAAAATAATAATTTAAAACTAAAATATATTAGCAAATTATTATGAATTCTTTTAAAAAATATATTTTTATATTATAAATATAATTTTAAAAAATATTATTATCACAATAAATATGTATTATTATCGTCTTTTCTTTTTAATTATCGAATATACTATATTATCATTACAATAACGGTAAAATAGATATTTAAATATATATTTTTTGTTGAACTGTTAATTTATATTTATTTATTTATTTTTCAAAAAGGTTATATAAATAATAATAATAACTAATAAAAAATATATATATAACTAATTTGATATATTTAATGATAATATAATACTAAAATTATAAAATCAAAATTAATAATCTAGAATATAGTAGTATTACAGATGTTACAATACTCAAAATTAAAGATTTGAAATGATGTATAATCATTTTGATAGAGTAAGTTGTGTAAACATTTCATTTGCAGAAATATTTAACCGGTAAGGGTTGACTTGAACACTATGCGTATAAGACAAAATATGGATTTGTTTCCTTATACTTGCAGGACTGAAGGTCCTCTTCATACCTTTGGTTTAAGTTATTAGTCGTTAAATTTTATAGAATATTGAAAATTTTATAAAAACAAGAGGAAGTTGAGTAAACACCGGTTAAAGTTATTTGTAAAGCATTGTTAGAGCAACTGCAATGGTATAGAGAAAAAAAAAAAGCTTCGTTAGCTTACTTGTCCAAATAATATTCTATATTTTTATAGGTAAAAAAAGAGAAATTGAGCAACAACTCTATTTGAGAGAGAAAAAAAAAAAAAAGAAAAGAGAGAAAGAAAGAAAAAGAGACACAACAAGGAGAAAGAAAGCAAAAAAAGGAGAGAAGAAAGTAAGAGCAACCACAATGGTTCTCAATTAATAAGCATCTACAATCTGATGTGTCCGATCCAAACTATCTTAAATGTAAAAATGTAGTGTAGTGGCTTTTTGTTTGATAGGAAAAAGAATAGAAAGAGAAAATGAAAGAGAAAGAGAGAATCGGTGAGAGAGAGAATAATAGGAAGAGAGAGAAAGAATATGAGAGAGAAAATGCAGGGGAAAGAGTAAAGAAAGAAAAGAAATGGAGAGAGAGATAGAAACAAAATAAATGTCACAAGCTTGTACATACCTTCGTTTGCACCAAGCCACTCCCAAACTTTGCAATTTTTTTCTATCGGAACAAGAGACGTTGCATGATCATTTTTTAAAAAAAGCTTCATTTTCAACTTAGAAGTCTTCTATAATTAAGTCATTACAAATGCTCTAAGAATGTGGAGAGAGAAAAAAGGAAGAGGAGAGAGATAGAGAGATGGAAAGTAAATGCATAGCCTGAATTGGGCTTCGCCTGCACCAAGCACGATCAGATTTTTTCATTTTTTTTCAATCAAAATATAAGTCATTGCATTGTATTTTTTGAAATGTCCTGGAATAAAGCTTCTAATCTGACAAAGAAGCTGTTTATATTAAAGTCATTGCAATTGCTCTTCCTGAAGAGAACACAATAGATTAATGTGTTATATATACAATAATATTTTTTCTTTTTCTTTTTTTTTTTTTTAAATTTTTACTTTCTTTTTAATGCTGACATTTTTAGTAAATTCAAAATGATTTTAGGGCTCACACAAAAAATTTTTGTAAGATTTGTGGTAACGAAGGGTCTTATGTTCACATTATATGAAACAATGTTTATTTGTATCATTAAATTGGGTAGCGATATATTTCAAGGAAATCAAGCAACAA